AACTGCTGTGCTGGATTACAGCTGCTCCACTACTACCAGGATTTCTACTCCCCCGCCCCGCCCCCCAGCCAAACACCATCAATTTTAAGATCCCTAGTTTTTCCCCTGTCCGTGGCCTTGTTTGCTCGCCGCTCCCTCTGCCCTGCTCCTTCTCCCCCAGTTTCTTCTCCCCCAAGACCCCCAGGAACTGTCAGTCCATTGCTTTCTCCTTGGGCTTGCTTCTCATGCCTATCTTATATAGATTGACAAAACAGCCAGTGAAGACAAAACACCAACAAATGAACAACAGTAAAGAGAGGAAGAAAAAACAAACCTATACATAATTCCCCGTCAGTCCTCTGACCTTTTTGACTATTTCCCACTGGTGCAGCAGGGCTCTGGGCACTGCCCCTCCGACTCAGAGTCTGTTTTCAGTAGTTCCCCAGGGCTTCACGACTTAGCTCCTAATGTTGATCTGTTCTCTTCCATTCTTGTTCCGCCCCACTGTGGGGACTAGAGGACGTTCCTTGTCTTCTTTCACCACCTGTGGGCCTAACATTCCTTAGGGATCCCCGTGTGTCTTGGCATCAGTTTTCCCTTGAGTCTAAGAGGTTCTTAGCACAGGGACCTGGGTCCAAAAGATGTGCTCAGCTCCCAGCTTTTCTTTCTTGGTATTAAGGTCACTTTTTTCAGGTGTGTTATATAAGGTACCTCACAGAGAGCGTTCTTGCCAAGTAGTGGAGTAACTGAGAAAATAGATTCTGAAACAAGAGCTCTTGGGTTCAAATTTCAGCTAACATTTCTGTTTCCATTTCCTCATGTACTAAATAGAGATAAACATAATAAAGAATATCCTAGTTAATTGTGAAATTTGAATTAATATACTCAATGGATTCCTAATCCTGTTGGTACATAGTCTGTGACAGTTAATGCTAAATTATGATATTGATGGCGGCTAATGCCATAGGTGCTTAATAAATGGTCATTAAAATTGGCATCCTGCTTGTTGGGCCTCTGGAGAAGAGAGCAACCTTGATTGAGTCTTGCTCTTGGAGCCTGCTGAAACCAGTGCAGCTGGGAGCCTTCTGGGGTTTCACCTGAGGCCTTTGGGTAAGGTGACCAGACGGCCCACTTTTGGCAGGACAGTCCTGATTTTTAACAATTTTTCCCACGTCCCGTGGCATTTTAAAATCCAAATTTTTGAAAAGAATGCATGACAAGCTAGGGTATACGGTTTTTGGCTGCCATGTGGCTGTTTCGCCAGGATATGAGTTTTATCAATGGTGTCCTGCACTACCAATGTTAAAATCTGGTCACCTTACCTTTGGGCAACTTTGGCTTTGAGGAAGTGATGCACAGGGACACACATTCAGCAGTCCTCTCTGCGCTCAATCAGTTCTGGGAGGTGGTGTTGTTCTGACCCCCTAACCAACAGCTCACTCCCCTCAGCCGTTAGCAGTGGAGAAAGCCACACTGCTCACATCTCCACACCAGAGTCTCCTAGCCTGGCTTCCACAGTCTCCTCCTTCCTGTTCCCCGACTCCCCTCACCCCTGTGATGATGCCCCAATAACCTCTCAGATTCTCCTCACTTCCCATATCCAACTGCTTCTCTTTTTTACATGCTTCCTGCACCGCCCCTCCAATCCTTTCCTTCGGCCTGGGCCTTCAGTTTTCCAGCTAGTCTCCCCTCCACAGGCTGCCTCTTTCCCCCAATCAAGAAGGAAACCTAGGACTCCCAGGTGAGGAACGGAAGTGAGCACTGTTTGCTTGCAGGCTAGATTCTGCAGACTCACTCGCTCTCCAAGTGGAGTTGTGTGCACGTGTTCAGGAGTGGGTCTCCCACTGCAGACTGCCTCAGGCCTTCGGGACTGTTAGCAGAGGCTTTGTTTGTCCGGCAGGCACAAATAAGGTCCCGTGGGGCCACGTGTCTGCTTTAAGAAGCAGAGGCTCGCTCGCACACATATCAAGTAGGGTGAGATTCTTTAATGTACAAGAGGATTTTTTCCCATCAGGAAAGATTCCCCTCCCGGTTCCTTTACATGGTGGCTCCTTTAGGCCAGGGAGTGTTTTACAGATCATTAACTGCTTGACTGAAAGCCTGCAGGGCAGAGAAACTAAAAACTAAACTGTTGGGAGCCTTAAAGATAAAGTGTCCCAGCAACTCGAAGTCACTGGGAGAATGTGATTTGATTCAGGAAAAAAAATCTGATATTACATACCATTTCTTTGGAGCACCCCTTTTTATTTACATGGTATCCCCCTGCCTGCCCCTCATTGTCCTCTGTGTTTTCCCCTTCTTGAGCCAAACACATTTATTCCCACATCTTCATCCTGAATCCCCAGACTTGGGGTTCCCCTGTGAACAGTGACTGCACAATAACCCCGGCAAAGGGCGTCATTGGGCTCGTGTGCTAGTGGCTGTGTGGAGCAGAGGCAGTTGATGGAGAGATACCACCCATAATGGATGAACTGTACAGTAACAATTTGCAGATAAAAATAATAGAAGTTAAAGTGCACTTTACATGATAAAAGAAAGATGAAAGAGGACGAGAGTCAGTTACATCTGAGATGGTTACAGAAGTCCTGCTTTGTGAAGTAGGCTCTGTTGAAAAGATTGATGCAATGGGGAGTGACCTTGGCTTGGAGCAGGAGCTGGTGATGTATGTATGAGCATCCCTCTGCTAAATGGACCCAGATTTGTAGCGCTAATATACATGGGAGCCCAGAACCAAACTCAGTACGGCAATAAATCAACAGCCACTTTGGGTGTCATTTCTGGTTTATATTCCACTATTGTTCTATCACTTTAATTCATGTCACTATCATCTTTTCATCTGGAACAGTTTTATATAATTTTCCAGTGGAGTTACCTGACAATTCCTATCAAATTAACAAGGTACATTAACAATATTGACTGACTACGGCTTCAGGAGTCGCAGGGCTGTAGAACAAAATTTTTAAACCGTGTCTCCCTGGTGATGATTTTTCCCTCCTCTCTGAGAAAGGGATGTGTAGCAGGGCTTATTTCCACATAAGAGATGTGCACATTTATTTTGCTCTGCTCATTTTGACTTTTATAAATGTCAGAATAAGGAGAAGAGGAGAGGGGGGGAAAAACCGCGCGCGCGCACACACACACACACACACACACACACCACACACCACCCCCCTTTGCTACCCCAACAACCATAGCTTAAGTACTTTTCTTCTTTGAGGGAAATCTAGAAATGCCCAGATCTTTAACAATTAATGACCAAATTGGAGAGAAGAGTGTAACTGGCTAGTCGTAATCTATTTTAAGTGAAATCTAATAAAATTGGTCTCCTGGTATGTTCTTGCCCTCTTGAAATCATCTAGACCTGCACGTCCAGAATCAATTGGACTTATGACATTATGCCTAATTGAAATATGATGTACCTGAAATAAGCCAAATTCCAGCTTTCAATTAATAAGAAGCTGCCGATTGTTCATCTTTACCCAAGACCACACAGTAAAGACCATCACTACATTCTCTGCAGACAACGGGAGTCCCAGCTATAGCCTGTCCTACAAACACTCCTGCCTTTGTCTAACAGTACATGGGATTTATCGATTCATAAAAGAAATAGAAATGAATAGAATGTGTAGCAGGCCTTATCACTAGGATTCTGTTTGTATTTTCTAATTTTAAATTGGATGCCATGGTTTGAGTGGTGTTGTTTTGTTTTTTGTTTTGTGTTAAATTAAGCTGCTTCTTTTGCCTACATTAGACTTGCTAAGTTTTCTCGCATTCTATCCAAACATTTCTGAGTCATAATAAAAAGATTCATTGTATGAAATATGCTAGCTTGGATTTTGGGGTGTTACAGTATTACTACACTTCCTTATTTTAATTATTTCTTAAAGCCATCCTTCATTTTGTTTTCTCCACTTTGACCCTGACCTTTAAACTATGGCCTAGAAATGTAATTACTTTAAGGTTCCATATGGGGCTCACCCTACAAGGCATACTGAAGGTTTTCGTCTCACTTCATCAACAGACTCCTCAGTTTTCACAAGAGAGCGCCTGGCCTTGCTGGCAGATGTCAGGTTGAGCATATCCTCCCTTGTAACACCCAGAGAGTAAATGGGGTGCGTTGCCCCCTTATCCCAGGACACCTTTCATCCCTGGTGTGAACTTGGGTCTCTGGCACTTTACTCACAGTCACTGCACAGTCTGCTATGTCTTCCACAGCTCTGAAGTGCCAGTGTTGAACATTCTGAATTCCTGTTATAGACTATTTGTTGAATAAAGCTCACATCCAGTGCCAAGTCTTTCTCGCTCAACAAGGAGGGCTTGAAAAAGTTCATGGGGAAATCCATGATCCTTTCATTCAATTTTTCCACAAACTTTTGAAGTCCCCTTGTAATGACCTCTCACATGAGCTCCGAAGGTTTTTTAAAAAGAAACTTTTGATCCTCTTGCAACTTCTTTTAACTATACATCAGGTGATTATTTAGTGTGAAGAATAGAGGAGATTTGTTTTCCCCATTCTGGCTGAGTACGGTGTTTCCAGATCCAAAATCTTCCTTGTAATTTAGCTCTTCAAGCATAGGTGAGATTACACATATTTGTTCAACTCAGATCTTTTAAAAAGTAATCACACACACACACACACACACACACACACACACACACACACACCCTGGTCAAAACAAAACTGCATTATAAACCTTAGCATTTACTTCATTACAATCCAAAGGTGACCTGGATTTTGTATCTGTTATAGCTAAGAAAGCACTTTTCTTAAAGCTGTTTTATTTGATATTTAGGGGGTGGTTCCCCACACCTCGCTCGGTCAGATAACCAGATGGTACAGCCCCTCTGTGCCAGTTGGAGTCTCCTTGTGTCTGTGTTAAGACGTCTATGGCATCTCCAAAGCCCTAAGAGAGCACTCATATTCATTCGATTTAGGATTTATAAAGTAGGTCAAATCACTCCACTGAAAACACTTACACCTCCGTTTGTGATTCTTCTTTGTCCTTCCCTTGGCCTTACAGGTATCTCTGGAGACAAGGTCGAGATAGACCCTGTTACGAATCAGAAAGCCAGCACTAAGTTTTGGATTAAGCAGAAACCCATCTCAATCGATTCTGACCTGCTCTGTGCCTGTGACCTTGCTGAAGAAAAAAGCCCCAGTGAGTAGTCCCTTTTATTTATGTCGCCTTTTCCTCGTCCCCCTCTCTCTGCTGGGTGCCAGGAGGATATATTGCCACTGTGTCCTTTTTTCCTTGGGTCTGTTTAATTCATTACCAGAAATTCCTCTTAATCAAACGGGCCTGTATTTGGTACCCAGAACCTGACTCGAGCCTCCATCCAGTCTGTTGTGATGCCAACAGAGAACTTCACTCACACTCCCCGCTTCTGAACTCAGCAGGCCTTCCCAGGGGCCTGTGGGTGAGGGGCAGATTCCTGCTGCGAACTTGCACCCACTGGAGCCCTCCATTTCCCTTCCTCTTCCCCTCCCCGTACAGGGGACTTGCCCAGTCAAACCTGGACTTGCCTGCCTTCCATACCAAATCAAGGGACGCTGGAGGATTTCTTTGGCAGCTGAAGACTAGATTTAGATATCTATCATGCCGGAAATGTCAACTCTCCCCAGATTATTGGCAGCTGCATGACCTCCCTGCTAGTAATTAAACTCCTTCCTGGTCCTACAAAAGAGATTGCTACCAGGTTGGCGTTCCTCTGCTTAAATTATCAGAGTGCAATACAGTCTGGTTGTATATTTTGCATTTTATATCCCTTCAGTTAAGTAATTGAGATTAACATTTAGATGAATAATTCTTAGGACTATAGTCCTATCAGGGGGCCCAAAAGGATACATAGATCACTTTGAAATTCCTCCATGGACGGACAACCTTAAGCTATGCTCAGATTCATCCGTTGCTGGAGAAAGCTCCAAGATGGTGGTTCCTAAACTACTCTGGTATATACCAGCATTACCTATAGAACATATTTTAAATGGGAGTACCCACACCACACCCCAGTAGATTTTTGACTTGGGGCAGGACCTCAGCTTCTCATTTTTGTTCCTCCCCAAATGTTATAGTATTTACTAAATTTAAGAACGAGTGTTATAAGGAATTACATATGCTTAAGAAACTATGTGTGGCAGTGGAGGGATGGTGTAGAGACCTGTCAATTGAGTTGCTAACCACAAGGTCAGCAGTTTGAACCACCAGCTGCTCCACAGGAGAAAGCTAAGGCTTTCTACTCACATACAGAGTTTCAGTCTTGGAAACCTACAGGGCCAGTTCTACTCTGTTCTACGGGGTCACTAGGAGTCAGAATTAGCTCAATTACAGTAAGTTGAGAAGGAACAATAAAATGTGTAAAGGTCAGCAAGTGTCTATAATGTAACTCAAGTCTTTGAGGAACTTAAGAAGTAGTGAGCTCCTCAAGTGGGCTTACAGGTGATCACATGCATTATCACATCATTTGTGAGTGGGTGGGGGGGTGTTTTTGTTGTTGGTTGGTTGGTCAAATCCAGCTGTCCTGGGCTGTTTCTTTTCTTTTCGACTCAGGGCCTACAGCTTGACAAGAAGGGAGAATTCGGTGGGCAGGGCAGGAGACCAGTAAAGTTGTCCCCAACCCCATTTCACCATGGCTGTCATGCCAGTGAGCTCTCTGGCTCTGCAGGGTGGCTGCCAGAAGCAGCTGGTGAGAAAATTGCCTTTTGCTGTGGGTTCCCCTGCTTTGGGCCAAGCAGCTGCTTCCTAAGGCCGTTCACTCTGGCCTGCTAGCCAACAGAGAAACCATTGCTCTGGCACCTTTCTTCCACGTACCCAGGATGCTTTGAAAAGTACCACTTTACAAATGTTCCATGTCTCTCAGAAATGAAAGGCAGTCTCTTACACATTGCACAGAAAGAGAAGCTAGAGTGGGAAGGCCAGGGAAAGAACTGGAAGGAAGATTCAGATTTCCCTACACACACTAAGATTCACATTGCGCCCAGGAGAGATGTGGTATGGGATACTGGAAGGTCAAGGGTGGGATACGCCTCACCAGTAGGGTTCAGTCAGTAAGGACGTACACTTGACTTTTAAGCAATGCAGAAGTTGGGATACCAACCCACACAGAGTAGAAAGACTATAAATTTTTACTCCAAAAGCTTAACTAATAGCCTACTATTGACCAAAAACCTTACATAAGTAGTCGATTAATGTCAATATTTTGTATGTTATATACATCCAGATAAAAGCTGCATTTTCAATATGAGATAAAAAGATATTTCACAAAAAGTGTGTGTTAGTCTGGGTTGACTAGAGAAACAAATTCACAGATACTCGTGTGTATAAGAAAGAGCAATAGAATATTGAGAAAACATTTTAGGCCAGTCCAGATCAAGTCCCTAAGTCTGATATTACCCATATGTTGATACTAGTCCATAAATTCCTCTTTAGACTCACACAGCCATGCAGTGACACCCCTGAAGTCTTGTGGATCCAGTGGTGGTAGAAGCATCTCAGCGCTGGTGTGGTTCTCCACAGTGCTCCTCCAGCTTCAAGACTCTGGCTTCCATCAGCATAGCTCCATCAGGCTGGTCATCAGTATTGTCTCTCAGGAAGTGTGTATCTGCCCTGCCTCCAGTGAGCTATTTATCTCCTTAGCACCTCCAAATGAGGTCATCAAGCTGTGACCTGATTGACAGGCAAAACTCCACCCCTTCGCTCTTAAGTCTCAAATTGACCACATAATATGTAACTACCACGAAGTACAAGGATTTTGCACCTACTGGTGTAGTTGCAGCTTGGGCTTTGTGAATTTCCTTTTAGGACAGTGATCCTTATAATGGATTCATTTATCTTGAAATTATAGTTACAGACCTGAGTACACAGTACATATAAGGGGACTTTAGAAAGCTCTGGAAAAATGGAATTGAACAATAATGGAATTTTTTTATGCAGTTTTTGTGAAGCTCACTTGTGTCAAGCAATTCCATTTTCGCTTATATGTCACGGCTTTTCTCTGCTTCTTGGGAGCACTCCAGCATCACTAGTGGTACTTTCTTTGGGTCCCTTGGTCTTACACAAGGTCTATGGTATTGTACTAAACACAAAGGAAAAATCCTTCCATGTGCAGTTTAGAGGGGAGACCAACTGCTTAGGCAAAGGTGATTCAGGTCACGGGGAATTATTTTTCAATCTGCACTGAATTTTACCTGTGCAGTTCAAAAGCCTCTGTTGTTCTGTGGTCAGCTATGTTCCTCATCTGTGTGAGTGAGACCAAGATCCAGACCCTGGGATAGGATGGCCAACAGCAATCCTGTGCCCCACCATTTCAGTGTTGACAGCCCCAACAAAGGGAACTTTGGAATGGTTTCATATAAGAAAAAATGCAGATGTGATCATGGCATCTCCCCTGCCAGGTTAAAAAAAAATGCAGATGTGGATTTCACTGGGATGTTTCCTCCTCTCTTATTTCAGATTTCAGAGATCTAGAAATTTTGACAGTTTCTGAAACAATTGCTAAGGCCCAGTCACATGGCAGTGCTTTCACCCCTGTTCCTCAGAATTGCATGGTTCTCAGAAGGATTTCGGGGCACCATGTGGAGGGGTATGAAAGGAAGGGGAGGCTGGTGTGCGTGTGTGTATAGAGAGCAGTCCCCTGACGTCTTCTTAAAAGTAAGCTATAGTTTAGCTTAACTAGTAAACGTCTGCCTTGAGCATTCTGCTCTTTGAAGAACTATCTGTGTGAGATCAGACTGCTAACAGTAACTCTGAACACACGCACTTTAGGGGACAGTGAGGGTATGTTAATAAGGGAGGCAGGACTCAGAAAAGGAGAGTGAGAACCGTGCATGTGACGTACACATGTTGGGACTGCTGAACTGGTGTATATTCTACTGTGTATATATATGTTCAACCACAGCAACAACAGAAAAGTCATCTGATTTGCCACTGAACAAAAAAGGTGTGTGTGTTGGGGGGGTGGGGGTGCTTTAAAGGTTACAGACTTAGAGAATAAAATTCAGATTCTTCAGCACAGCCTTTCTAGATGCTTACCAGCCCCCGACCCCTCTGGCCTCTGGGCCCCTGACTTTCCAACCTGAACTTGAGCAGTGACCACTGTGAACTACTCACATACACAAACATGCCTCACATTCTCTGCCACTACTCTTCTCCCTCCCTGGAATAAGCCTCACTACCACTCTATTCTAATCTTTCAAGTTCCAGCTCTCCTGAAAACCCGTCTATGTAGATTTGCTCCCAGGAGTTTGTCCACACCTGCTAAAGCACATCATACAATATAGTGTTTACCTACTGCAGGTCTGCGCTGCCCCCCACCCGCACCCACCCACCACCA